ATGTTTAAACCGATTTTTCTTTATTGAGAATCAGTCGTTTGCACGCTACCTGTGGAGAGAGGCAGTGGTGTTTCACCAAAGCACTGCCATCTGCTGTCCAGGTGAAATATCTGTGATGGTTTACTGGCTCCATTGTGTTCATGTGTTAAAGTATGATAAAGCCTCATGCAACAGGATTGCCTGTTACTGAACTAAAATAAAATTCCTTTTGTAGCCATCATGCTAGATAGATTCAGGAGAACTGGCTCTTCTTTCATCTGTTGCTCTCCTCGGTCTGCATGAGCTTGAAATAAAATGCACAGGGTTAGAGAGTCAGCACTATACTTTGGAAACAAAGCTTGGCATTGCTATGCAGATGGGGAGACATTTTATTCCGCTAAGTGAAATTGTGTCTCCTGCTATGTCCCTCACTTCACTGTAGAAGTATTATGAGGAGTGGGAATGAGTGTTGATGGAGAAAATCTGTCATTTAAAGATGATCACACAGTAGTTTTCTCTGTTCTTTTTACACTATCTCCCAAAGTCCTATTATAACATTTCAATATAGTGATTTCTAAGTAAAAAAAAATTTAGCTCAAAATATCTATGGATCTTCATGAAATATGCTATGTAATTGAAAACTACACCATGGATGAATATTATGAACTTTGTTTTATGAATCAACTTCACGTCTATTTCAAATGTGTCTCCCAGCCCTTTGTTATAGATATCAAGTGCATCTGGTGGAGTGCCCAAGATGAGGAGTTGTTCTTCCAGACTTCTTGTCTATGCATTCTCTCTGTAGTTCTTCAAGGTTTTAGTGCCAGTGATGCAGTGTGATGTAGAGAGTGACACTATAGAATTGGAATGGATTTTAATCTTTAAGGGCCTCTGGGGCCATCTTGACCAGCAACTAACAGAGGGATGTATCATACATGGAATTGGGATTTTTTTATGACAACAAAAAATATAGATACTAAAGCTGTCTGAATTATAATCTCACACAATTGCAAAAACTTAGAAATAAAGGAATATTTAGATAAAGAGTAAAGGAAAAACCAAAACAACAGTAATGAAGTTCCTTAAAAGTAAAGCAAGTATCAAAGTTGCTTTTGTTTCAGTTAGAGTCTAAAATAATTACATTAATCATAAGCAGAAAAGCATTCCAATCAAAAGAACCATAAAGTGAGTCTAATTCTCTGCCATGCAACACACATCATTTATTTTTTAAAAAAATCCTTTTTTTTTTACTGATAAAAACAGACTGAAAAAATGAAAATGGAAGTATGGAAAAAGTTGTATATAATGCTAATATCAAGCATAGGAAGATAATAAACCTTAACTAATATCAGACAACTTTCTGTTTCATGTAACTTATTCCACATATTTAATTCAGTAATTGAAAAAAAGAGGGAGAATCCTTTCCTTCACATGTGTTGGTTCTAAGAAGTTATCCACTAGACAATTCCACACCATGAATATACAGTCAACACTAGGTGAACTCACTGGGTATTGATTTAAAACAACCAACCAACCAATCAAGCAAATAAACAAACACACAAACAAACAAAATTGGAAAGAAGTTGAGGGGTATGTGAGGCATTGGAGGAGAGGAAATTGTAATGGATGGGATCCAAACACGTGATATGAATATTGAATAAAATATTTAATTAAAAATGAGTAAAAATTGGAAAATGGAGAAGAATGATGGGGCATGAGTCTCATGGTAGATGCTCACTGATGGTTTGAACTCTTCCTTCTCTACTGAAACCTTACACATCTCCCCCTGAATATGCGTTAGCTACACCTAAAGCATCTCCATAGGCTGACCTTTACCACTATTTAGTTCAAAATAGCTTCTAACTTCTTCTTTCATCTCTATCCTTACCCCCACCCCATCACCAAAGAAGTGTGTTACTTAAAAATTGTATTATTTAATTTTCAAATATTTGGTAGCATTTTGCCATATTGACTGAACTCTACATAATTTTGTGGCCAGTAGACACATGTCATGTAACTTCAGACCTTAAGACTTACTGGTGTAAGGTTGATTCTGCCATCAAGAAGACGGTTGAAGTTCATTACCATCAGCTGAAAATTGAAGAGGATCCAGAAGTGACTCTGCAGGAGACTGACACAGCTGCCAGCTCCCCTGCCTCCCCCTACAGTCGACCCCTAGACTTCCACACCCTCCAGAAGGGTTCCTGGTATGCCTGGCTTTGCCCTCGTTTCTCTCGCTAGAGAGCTTGGCCTCTTGATCACCACAACAAAAATTGGATTTTTCCTAAACCAAGGCCGCCCTTGATATGGCCGCTAACATTGGGGAGCCTTCCTTTATGACAATATTACACCCCAAACTGACCAATGGTTGGTAACTTGAACATTTACAAGGGACTAGGATGGCTGTGAGTTAGCCCAATGAGGGTATTATTGTAGGTCCACTTCCCAGGGGCCCACCCAATGCAGCAGAAAAGGAGTGCGTGGTGCTGGGAGTGGGTGCAGCCTACATGGCCTAAGACAGGGCTCTCACCCTCTTTTCACCCACCTCGGGGTCCCTTGACATTGCCCATCGTCGACAGCCTAAAGCCTTCGACCATCGATGTGACTCGTCTCACATCAATGTTTTGGGGTTGTGAACTTATCTAAGACCCCCCATAATTAGACATCCAAACTCAAAACTCACATAGTTGGGATTGATCATAAGACGCCTTCTCTAACTAAACAGAGAAGGGGGAGATGCCAGAAGCCAGGACCCTCGCCCTTACCCTCACCCCCTACCTTTCCCCACCTGCACAATGTCCCCTGAAGCTTGGAAACTGCAAGATCCTGCTTGGCAACGGTAGATAGACTCAAAGCAGTGTACCATATCTTCTGAAGAATAGCAGGGAGACCATAACTCAAGCAGTGTACCATATCTTCTGAAGAATAGCAGGTAGATCATAATTCAAGGCAGTGTACCGTATAGACCATGACATGTTTCAAGGCAGAGGCCAAGAAGATTCTGTACTTTTCCACCATCTGACCCCTCTTAGCCCCTCCCCTTGTAAAACATGCTATAAAAAAGCATTTCATGTTAAAAAAAATTAAAAAAAAAGACTTACTGGTGTATTTTGAACTGTCTGAGTGTATGGTCTGTCTAAGAGAACATTGTTTGTACACTGATAAATGTACCCTGCATTGACAAGTGTATTGGTCAATATAGGTGTCAATTTGTTCTAATTGGTTGCTCTATCTAGTTCCAGTTCTTACTGTGTCTTATTAGCTACTTGGAAGTGAGTGTTAATTCAATTGTAGATTTGTCTTATTTTAATTATCTCAACTTTTGATTCATTAATTTTATGATTCTCTTATTCAGTGTATAGATGCGGAACATCACTTCTTCTTGACCAGGGACTCTATGCACTGTAAAATTACTACTTTATCTCATAGAACTATTCCTTTTGATTCCCCCCCCCCCAGACATCTTAAAGCTGAAGCAGAGGGAAAAAACTTCTCTTTCAGAAGAATAGCATGGCTATTGGCCACAATCAACATTATATTCATTAGATTACCCAACTTCCGTCCACTTAAAACTGCTGAATACTTGTGTGTTTAGATCAAGTTGCTTTCATGGCTCTGCATCATTGGCACTCCCCTAAGGAGTCCACGGTTCATGCAAACTTCTTTTAATTTTACTCTTTTCTTCAGCCTTAAATGTTTCAAGGTGTGTGTGTGCGTGCGTATGTGTGTGTGTGTGTGTGTGTGTGCGTGTGTGTGTGTGTGTGTGTGTAAGTACCTTTATCAGTCAGCCTACGTTCATCTGCACATGCTCCAGTCTGTTGTTTCTTTGATGGTGAATCATCCCAGACTATCCAGACCTGATGATGATATTTTGTTTTCTTTTCTCAGTATTGTATTGTCATTATTGCTTATCTGAAGTCACTGAATATTCAGAATTCTGATTAAAATAGATAAGTTTGCTTCATTTTTAAAGGCAAGGATTCACATTTTAGACTGCTATTTTACATTTGCATTCCTCACCCCCACCAGAACTTCCCTTGATTCAATGCTCACTGACAGCAAAGGCTTCTAAAGGTCAACCCAGGGAGATTAACCTGAGTGTGTCTGCATAAGTAATGGCTATGATAGGGCACACACAGCGAAAGGGCATTGCTTCTGAATTGTAAGAACATATCCGGACTTCATTCTATAAGAAGGAATATACAGGCAAACACCATTAATGACTTGATTGTTCTGAGTTAAACAAGGGGTGGGAATAGAGAGATGAGAATGAAATGGGGAAATGGATGGGAAAGAGAGGGAGAGAGAATTAGTGTTGAGAAGGTTTGCAAGACTATTGGCCTATTGGTCCTGGCATCTGCAAATTCTCCCTAGTAAAGTGAGAATTGAAGATACACAGGGGGGTGGAGGAAAAAAAAAAAAAAAAAAAAAAAAAAAAAAAAAAAAAGCCCACCGAGGGAGGGAGGGAGGGAGGGGGGAGGGAGGGAGGAAAGGAAGGAGGGAAAAAGAAAGGAAATCTCAGATCAAAGAGCCATCTGACCAGAAGGATAAGACTGAACTTCAAAATGATTTCTCTTGTTCTGGTTCTCTATATAAACACTAATAAGAAAATAAATGGGGAGGACAGATTTTTTTTCTGGCTTCCCAGACTCAATTTCTTGGTTTTGACTATATGACAGGCAACAGGGCTGCTTGCAACTTCCTGCTTTTATACTCAAGTGGATACAACCCCCAAATTTAATGTTTTATCATATGATTATTTTCTAAAGAAAACGGCCTATTTTTCATTATGTTAGAGTTCGACATAGCATAGAATAGTTCAGAAAGATGAAGTGAGCTCTAAAGAGTACACTCATTTGCTTCAAAGATGCTTCATTTCCACTGCCCGCCAGAGGGCGACATTGAACAGACTAGACATCTCGGTTTCTGCAATGACCCCAACCTTCAACTCAGTCCCTCCCTGAATCAGGCTGAGTTCTTAAGAGTATCTGACAACTGAAGACAATCAGAAGCCAGAAAGTTTTCAGGACCAGGACCACTTTGGGAGGCTTTTTTTGGTCTCTTTTTAGAGTTTTACCTAAAACAGGAAGGTATCTAGTCAACCTTGTGCCAACGGTCTCCAAGAACTGGGAAGGGCAGCCACTTTCCTGCACGAGCCAAGCTTTTCCAGAAAGTCATCAGAGCTGTTTCCTGTGCTCAGCCATGCTTCCAGTCCTCATCTCATTCCTGGGGATACATTTTTTCCTGGGTGAGTCAAATATCCTGATAGTTGTAGATTCCACAATTCACTGTTTTTCTCACTTAATTTTAGTAAAGATAGTTTTCTTCATGAAGCCTACATCACAATTATGGATTTATCATTGGTTTTTCAGGAGATGTCCAAACACAGACAGTTTCTCAGTCTGATGCCCATGTCACTGTCTTCGAAGGAGACTCGGTGGAGCTGAGATGCAACTATTCCTATGGTGGAACCCCTTACCTCTTCTGGTACATCCAGCACCATGGCCATGGCCTCCAGTTACTCCTCAAGTACTATTCAGGAGACTCAGTGGTTCATGGCATGAATGGCTTTGAGGCTAAGTTCAGCAAGAGTGACTCTTCCTTCCACCTGCAGAAAGCCTCTGTGCACTGGAGCGACTCAGCTGTGTACTTCTGTGCCATGAGCGCACAGTGTGTGGGGCTGCAGGGGGAGCTGAGCACAAACCTATAAGATGTTGAGGAGGATTCTGCAGCTGAGTGACTCTCAGTCATTCATGCTCATCATCTATGTAAGGAACCTAAATAAATGCACTGGTCCTCCAAGTTGGACTTCTTGGGAATTATTTTGGTCTATCCTTGGAACCCTATGTGGGGTTTGTAGACATTTTGTCGTTGCTCCAAGGAAATGTGACATAGCAGGGTAAAAACCATAAAATGGCCCTTGAGACACGATTGCCTTCTTAACGTTTGTTTTGTAGACTGCATTCTGCTGACTGATTATGTCCATGCAACTTAAGATACAATTCAGTTCTACAGAACCAGTAACCACAGTGAGTACTTACAGAGTGTGCACTAGAGGGAGAAGCCTTGGCTTCCTTCAGCTCCAGACTGAAGGCCAGTGTTAAGGAAATGTACTGTTTGCACTCAACACCTCAAGAGCCTCAGAAGCACTCTCCATCCATCTTTAGTTTAGTTCACTTGCCTCAGGGTAGAATCATCCTGAAGAGAATCTCAATAAGGAGTTATCTGGATTAGGTTGCCTTGTGAGCATGTCTGTGGCAGATTGCAATAACCACTGTGGGGAGACACAGCCTGCACATGGGAAGCTCCACTCCCAGTTTGGGCTGTGCATACTGCATGGCAAGGAGAAGAGTTAGGTGGAGCTCGGCATGCAAACAGTCTAGGCTCTTTGTTCCTGACTATGGATGTGATGTGACAAGTGGGCTCAAGCTTCTGTTGCTGTGACATGCACACAGTCCATGCTATGATGGACTGTAACCTGGAATGGTTAGGTCAAATAAGTCCTCTTCCTTCTAAGCTATTTTTGTCAGGTTGTTTTGCCAGAGCAATAGATAGGGAACTAGGATACCTTCCTTATTTCAGCAGACATGAGAGCACAGAGTAAGGGACAGAAGATAGGAAAGAGACCAGAGTCTGACCGCAGCAGATCTAATTATTTCAAACAGCAAAGAGCAGACACTCTTTTGCAGGAAATAGGCATCTTCAAGGAAGAAGGGGGGCTATTTGGAGTTTACAGAGAAGGGTGGGATAAAGAATCTTGTGCAGTTGCAAAGGGCCATATACAAGTCTCTCATTTCTGCTTTCTAGTATTTTCTGCTCATTTGAGACAGACTATCATGGGATACACGCTATTTTACCAAAAGCATTTCCTTTCTGGGACTCACTGATATTGTCTGGAGCAAGACCAGCTGTAGCTTCGTAAGGATTCTGTTTGTACGACTAAGGCATGGTATCATGTGTGAGCAGCACAGTATTATTTATTCCTCCATAAGGAATTAATTATAGAGTGACACTTTGGCTCTTTGATTTTGACTAAGACACCTGGCAGTTATTGGATGGTATATCTGTAATTCTGAATAGTAGTTGTGATGGGTTTATTTTCACCTTCTATGTTATCTTACCTGGGAATGTCATCCCATGCCATTTCTGTTTCCTATGTAGCCAGTTTTTGACATGTGATAGTCTACTGGAAAAATGACACAAGCATGGAATATATTTATGAACACAAATGAGGAAGTGGACAACCACAAAGCTTTAGACAGTTATAGTTGTTATTTGAACGAATTATAACATTCTTTAGGTATATTTATCAAAGTCAATATAGTTTTACTCAGTATAAAGTTGTAACTAAATTTAAAACCAATAAAATTGTCACTGTTCTTGTTTTTGCTCCTCAGTGTTATTCTCTTTCATTCTCCAACAACAGAACTTAGAAACTTCCTAAGGAAGTTTGTATTTTGCATTTCTAATATATATATATATATATATATATATATATATATATATATATATAATTTGTTTGTTTGTTAATGGTGTGTAGCTCTGTGTTTTGAAATATATGCCAATGATAAAACATTGTAAGCATGACTGTGAAGCTTGTTGTTTTCACTAAAATAATTTGGAGACATAGAAAATTTGCTATAATCCATTTCAATATTTTTGAGCTGCTGTGTATCATCTCAATTCAGGGATATGTGACAGTCACTTTGATGATCATTTGGGCACATGGTGCTGGCAGAAATAGTGGCAGTCTCAGCCAGAAGTCAGGTTCACAGAGGTCAGCATGCCTCCACTGGTCATGTTTCCGAGGTGGTGCTTCATCCCTCTGCACAGTTCAGTCTGAGAATATAGGTCAGCAATCCTCTGAGGTTAGTAAATTGCTCATGGGTGTGTGGGTGTGTGTGTGTGTGTGTCTATCCAACATATATACATTTCCTGTTTTATTCTGAGCTCATGTTCATCTTTTTACTACAACCTAACCTTTTCTATCTTAAGAGATTAATATCCACACACTCCAGTGGCTCAGAAAATGAACTCTCCTCCTAAGCTGGTGATTATACTCTACTTAATGTTTGGTAAGTGGAACAATAAATTGAGCTTCTGTCTTGTTTCATGATACTGATGTAAATTTTAACAACAGTTTCTTTTGTGAGGCAGAGTACAGGTCATCATTGCACTGAACCGTTATTAATTTTGCTTTTTAGGAGAAAGCAATGGAGACTTGGTGACTCAGACAGAAGGCCAAGTGACACTCTCTGAAGGGATTTCTCTGACTGTGAACTGTTCCTATGAAACCAAACAGTACCCAACCCTGTTCTGGTATGTGCAGTATCCCGGAGAAGGTCCACAGCTCCTCATTACAGCCTCATGGAACAAGGAGAAGGGAAGCAGCAGAGGTTTTGAAGCCACGTATAATAAAGAAACCACCTCCTTCCACTTGCAGAAAGCCTCCGTGCAGGAGTCAGACTCGGCTGTGTACTACTGTGCTCTGAGTGACACAGTGGCAGAAACCACAGGGAGAGTGGAGCACAAACTCTGAGAAGCAGGGGCCTGGCTGCTGAGTGTGTCTGAGACCACTCATTTAGGGACCATGGGCTATCGTTGATACCATACATAAAAGCATCCAAATTAACACTAAGAACACATTAGGAGAACAGGAAATATGCATGCCATACTTTAGGCTGAATCAGAGAGTATGAAGACAGCCAGTCACATATCACAGTCATTTCCTTTTTTGTTTTTGTTTTGTGAGATGAGACTTTATGTAGCCCAGGCTGGCTTTGAATAACTTGTGAACCTGAGGTTGGCTCTGAACTCTTCTTCCTGCCTAAATCTACAGTGGGCTAGAGTTATATGCATAAAACACCATACTAGGCTGAATTTGTGATTTCTTAAATACAAAACCTCTTGTTGAATGGCACTATGTGTTCATCATCATCTATAATCCTAACTCTTAGAACCTGACTCATGTCATTTACGGAATTATTATGTGTAGAGACAAGACATGGCTTATGAGGTTGCACATGCTCCATATCTTCCTGGCAAAGTGCAATTAGAAAGGGTTATTTCTTTTTTACACTCATAAGATCTGATAATTTATTTGTTACTCGTAAAGATTTTTATGTTTGACTGAATTTAAATGTAGAAGCTTTTGGTGGAGACCATGTCTTCTGAAAATATGTTCCTGCCATTTTTATTTGGCTTCCTTCATTCTTTTGGCCAAAAATCTAGCATATTCTGCAGCATCTTTCTTATGCTTCTGGTGTGTTCTTTTGTTTAGTGTAATCTGTCAGCAGTTGTGATACACATTGAGTAAAAAGATGCTGAATGCTGGGTGCCTTGGTCCTTGGGGGGGGAAGTGAATTAAGATGAAGAGACGAGTGTACTCAATTATGTCTATAGGTCAAATAGAGGGAATGTATTAAGCATTGGGAAAGCTGGACGTGACATTGTTGGGAGAAAGAAACTTGGATTGTGGACTTAGGAGATAACAAGTTAAGAATTAGGTAGAGTGACATAGACAACTATTTCAAAGAGATTCGTAGACTTTGAAGAAAACTGGGGACCAATGCATGGATATTCACATGTTGATGGAAGAAGTATTCCTTCTTTCTGTAATATATTACAAAAATTGAAATGAACCAGAGACCTAAAATGTAATATACATGTTATGAATCATTCCATATGAAAAAATGTTTTAAATTTGGGTGGTGGGCCCTAACCAATATGGAAGAGTTAGAAGAAGGACTGAAGGAGCTAAAGCGGTTTGCAATCCCATAGGAAGAACAACAGTATCAACTAACCTGGACCCAGGAGCTCCCAGAGCCTGAGCTACCAACCAAATAAAATACATGGGCTAGTGGGAGGCCCATGGAACATATGTAGAAGAGAACTGTCTTCTATAGCTTCAGTAGGAGAGGATGCACTTAATCCTGTGGAAACTTGATGCTCTAGAAAAGAAGGATGCTGGTGGGGGTGAAGTGGGGGGTGAGTGGATGGGTAGGGGAGCACCCTCTCAGAGTCAAGGGTAGTGGGGATAGTGTAAAATACTCAGGGAGAGGCACCAGGAAAGAGGCAACTTTTGGAATATAAATAAATCAAATAATTTAATAAAACATTTTTTAAAAAGGAAAAGATTTGGATGGTGGGTATGCATGTTCATGTGCATGTGCAGGAGAGTGCAGTACTTGTCTGCAGAGGCAAGTAGAGGACATCAAACACTCCTGAAGTTACAGGAACTCATAGCTGGAAACCAAACTTGGGTTCTCTGCAAGTACCGTTAGTGCTCTGAACCACTGAGCCATCTCTTCAGGCCAAGAGAAGCATGCTTAAGTAAACATAGGAGTAAATTTTCATGACATGAGTCGGGCAAAGGTTTCTGAGTTATGACAATAAAAGGCAAGAATCAAAGTGAAGATAAAGTAGTTGATTCTCATTGAAGTGAAAAATATTATTGTTACTGTTTTCAGTGATAGGAATTAGATTCAGGCATGAATGCTAGGCAAGTGCTCCACAGAACTCAAGCTATACCTCTTAAATGTCTATGCTTTAAAGCATAACACAGATAAATAGAATCCCAAAGTTGCAGGAAATGTTTGCTAATCATGTATCTGCTGAGGCAGTGTCAAACAGAACGTATTAGCATAACATTTAAGAACAACTCTATGATAATGAGAAATTCAAAGTGGATCAATGATTGAATGTATGCCCCTCTAATAAGCCTTCATGGCGGCATGTGCCTGCAATTACAACACTCAGATAAGGCAAAAGGACTGTGAATTTGAAGCCAGTTTTGGCTACACATGACTACTCTAAACTTAGCGAAAAGCACAAGGAAAGATAACAAACACAGTCTTCAGAGTAATGTAACTTTACACAACAAAATAGATAACATGGGATGAATGTGAAACAGCAATTGCTGGCATAGATGTAGAGACTTCATACATTGCAACGTAAAATGCTGTGGTCAATAGTAACTCTACTCCCAATTATATTCTAAGAGAATTGAAAACATGCCTACACAGAAAGCTGAACCAAATGGTCAGGTCAGGATTAGTCATGGTAACCCCAAAGTAGAATGATTTAATGCCTATCACTAGCCAAATGTGAAGACATCATATATTCAATGGGATATTGTGCAGTAATAAAATGGATATTATACTGATACATAATAAAACATGATGTTCTCTAAAATCTAACAGTAAGTGAAGATGCTGTGATGGTCTTCTTGGTTGGTTATCAGCTTGGTTATTAGTCTAGAATTAGGGAGCTCAGATATCAGGAAAATGAGTGTGATGGCCAGTGATGATGGGATGGTTATACAATTGTATGAACAAAACACCAATTATTGAATGTATAAATGCACATACAAAATATCCATTTTAAATGACTCAAATTATACAGCATATAAAGAATACCTCAGAAGATCTGTTAAAGATATAAAGTTCTAGAAAGATGAAAATCATACTGTATAAATTACAAACAAACACACAAACAAGCAAAAGAAAATCCAGTGGCTTAACTTTTTAATTTGATCCAGTGTCTGTATCCTTTCCATAAAGACTTATACTTCGGTCTCATTGGTGGAGTATCTGACAGGCCCTAAAAACTTCAAGTCCTCCACATTGGGTTTCCTGAATCTCTACTTGATAGAGGACACTTTCTTTTTCAAATAGCAGATATTTCATTTTTTTTAAATTAAGCAATCTGAACTATTAAAACAAACCAACAACAAAACAACCTTTTCCCTACCCAATCATTTACTAGTTCCCTCATGAGAAACACAAAAGTTTTATTAACTTAAGTACTAGGTGTCACTGCAAACTCTAAGAAAAAGTACTTAGTGGATCTCTTCATACTTGTTTTAAAAACCATCCCCTTGAATATGTTTATAATTTCCAATTTTTTGCTCAAATTTACTTCAGTGAAGTTTTCTCTAAGTACCACATATAGAAGGTTATCTCTTTGTATGTCATTCAGGCTTAGTCTTTTCTGAATGGACACATTTTATCTATCTATCTATCTATCTATCTATCTATCTATCTATCTATCTATCATTTATCTACCTATCTACCTACCACAGTTCTACAGGCTGTAATTCCAAGAGTATGTGTGTATTTTTATATAATTTTATAAATACTGTATATTTTCTACATTCCATGTTATTCTTTTTACTTTTCCACAGGATTATTCTAAAACAAAAACAAAAACAACTCATATATTTTTTACTTCCTTGGGTGTTTCTTCTTTTTTTGAGTTACTATTTTTTTGTAAATCAATCTCAGTGGTTCATTGAAAGATACTAAATACTAGCTGTATATCCGATTGGGTTCAGAGTTCATCAGGTTGGCTGATAAACTGTCATTGCAATGCACAAACGAGAATGATAAAAACAATATTGAGAACAAGATCTCTCCTCCCATAATCAGAGCCTCTATCAACTTCCCGTCTTTACCTGCTTGCTATATGGAGTTTGGAATTTTAATTTTTTAAAGTAAAGTATCTCAACTTTCACAGGCCAAGAAAATACTTCAGTTCCACAGATATCCAATATTTTCAGAGAAAGTGCAAGGAAAAAATATACAGATAAGAAGAGAACTAGGAAAAATAAGATACAGAAATAGAAAGAGATATAGAAGATACTACTCTGTGTGACCAGTAATACATGGCCTGATCAATCTCTATGCAGGAATTTTCATCTGACTTGAACTTATACAGGTCTTATACATCTATCACAACCATCAGGGCTTCATATGTACAACTGCCCTGCTGTGTCTGGATAGACTTTGTAGACACCCACCAACTCCACTCTTATAATTTTTCCATTTTCTCTTCTGCAAAATTTCCTGAGATGTCCCATTTTTGGCTGGTCCCATTGTGCAGTCTCTTATATTTGTATCTTGGCTGGTTATGGGTCTCTGTGTTGATTTCCATTGACTTCAAATAAAAGCTTCTCTTAAGAGATTTGAGAAAGGCATTCACTTATGGGTATGACAATAAGTCATTAAGAATTGGTTTAATACTATATCCAGTTGTTAAAAGTATGGATTTCATCTCACAGATCAAGTCTTAAATCCAATTGGAAGATGAATGGTTATTCCCATTGTATCCATGCCTCTCTTCTATTAAGCCAGTGTTCATGGCTTACCAGGCCAGTTATTATTATTGCACTCAGAACTCACAGCTGGGTAAGACTGATGATGATTATTCTCTTCTGGTAGGGTGTAAATCATCTTCCATTCCCATGACAGTTGACTAGTAGACATGAAGCTTCCAAGTGAGTACAAGCTTGATTTCTTCATGTTCATGACTTAAACATACGGAATCTCTGTAATAAGTTCTTACCATCAAGCGTTGTAGTGTAACTAAGAGCATTGGCACTAGCCTGCAATGTTTGAGGAGTAGGGTCTAGGAAACCTCATTGGCCAACAATTCCAAAGAGGTAACCTAGTATTTGCATTGGACCTATTTGCTAGCCTATAATGCCCAGTAGGGGCATAGTTTCCTGGTTATAGGATAAGTTCATTAAAAGTCTTCTTA